TGCTTGGCCTGCTGTGTTCATCCAGCTCTACACCTTGTTATCTCAGACATTATTCAGATTGGGATTATAAGTGACATGTAACATATGTGCCACATAAGCAATAACCAATTCGGGGGATCTCACCATCTCCAATAACATTTGTAGGGGGTGACCTGTACCTGTCCATATAAAGTTACCTGTACCTGCTTACACCAAAGCAGCCCATGTTTGAAAGACACTAAATGGCCGACGAGGGCTAAACAAAATGAGGTAATTTGCTCTATCATTTAAAGTGAAACATAATAGTACCCTGGAACAGAGCTACCCAAGGTCATTCAAAGGCCCTGCAATCCATCATCTGAGACAGTTTTGATAAGAGGATGCCTAAGAAGAGACAAATGACTCTAGTCTCATTAATGAGAGGATGTTATCCCACTGAAGACACAGCACTTGGGGTGTACTCATAGATTAGATTAACTCCCTAAACAGCTGCAAAAAACAATAGCTAAAAGTATTTTGTAGTCATTAGCTTTTTACCTATAATATTAAGAAATAGGCTCAAGTTAAAGAATTATTGAGATAATCACAGAAGTAGTTTGCAACATGTAACCAGAATATAATACTAGCAGAAGGGGAAAAAGAACTTAAACCCAGAAGTGAAAATTAATTAGCTTCAGGACACGTCTTATCTTACGCCATGGACAAGATAGATCGGTCCAACTCATTAGCTTCAAAGTGCTAGCAGTAAAAGTAGCTGTATAACTTTACACTTTATAACTAACCTTACAACAGGAATTAATCATATAGCAATTAGTTAAAACTATCTTTTGTTTTTATATATATAATCAAGACAGTGGGAAATATAAAAGGAATGATTAAATTTGATAAAAGAGCCACTCGTAATACCACGAATAACCGGAGTCAGACAGCCCTTAGAGATAAGAAAGCCTAGGATAGACCAGAAGGAATATAACTAATAACTTTTGGAATGCAAATTATAGGATGCGTAGAAAGATCCCAAGGCCCAGAGATTACAATATCTAGTAAATGTCATGAGATCATGAGAACTTGGGGCTGTCCCTAGGAATGCCCATCATTGACTAGGTGTCCCATGGGATTGAGTGTATGGATTAAAGGAAAAATCAGTGACTACATTGTATTTGATTATTGTAATACAAGGTATATAAAAATGCTGTACTTCTTTGTAAAATCAGAGTGTATCATTGATCTCCCTTTCGGTACAAGGAAGATTCTTTGGCCCTCTCCCTGCATCTTTGCTGGAACAAACATCTTTCACTTGCCTGAATCCTGCCTGCCTCCAGAGTTTTTGTCACGAGTCAGAGGGTACGCTCCTACAACATTCAAGGGCATTACCACTGCTGAATACTCTGCTGTGCACACATTAGGATTTATCATTGACCAGAAACCAAACTGGACTAGATAAATACAACAGCTACAAGAACAGGTCAGCATCTGTGGCAAGTAACTTACCTCCTGTCTTCCCAGTGCCTGTCCACCATCTACAACATCTACAAGGCATTATCCAGGATTGTGATGTAATATTCTAAACTTGCCTGGATGACAGTAGCTCCAAAACAATTGAGAAGCTTGAAACCAGCTAGGACAATGTAGACTGCTTTACTGGCATCTTATCCATTAACTAGGACATACACTCCTCCAACTACTGATGCACTGTGGTAGCATGCCCTCTCTAAGATTATCCTCCCCATGAGATATGCCTTCTGATTGCATACGTAAACTTTCACAATACATTTGAGAAAGTGCCATGTAGTAGGCTTGTCAGGAAGCATAAGAACTCATGGAGCAAAAGAGACAGTAGCAACATGGATATGAAATTGGCTGAGTGACAGGAAACAGAGTGTTGTGGTGAATGGTTATTCAAACTGGAGGGAAATTTATGGTGCAGTTTCCCGGAGGCTAGTGTTGGACCCTTGTTTTCCTGATATACATTAATGATCTACAGCTGAACTTAATACTCATCTGTTTGCAAACCCTTAACCCACAATGGGTTTGAAAGTGGGCTTTCTTACTAAATCCAACTGGCAGCATTTCAGCCACCAACCCCATAGCAGTTATACCAGTGGTGTGATGTGTGTTGGGTGTCCTGCTCCCCAGTTGGACAAATGAGGCCCTTAGGTTAGTAATCCTGCCACTGCTAGGATTTAATTTGCAGCAGAAGAGGTCACATCAAGTTTCCAGTACAACAACCTTTCCTGCATAGTGTGGTGGAGGTTTGGGTTCCCTTATACTGGGGTCCTGGACTCATGAGCAAGCCCCCTTCCCCAGTGTTTAAACCCTCATTCAGCCCCAATCTTCCCCTCTCCATGCCTTCCCTTAAATGGCTACAAAGGAGCTGTTATCTCCTTGGTTTCCCTCCACTATCACCATTACTACTTCTTGGATGGGTGGGCTGTGAAGAATCTAGAACCTTGTATGTAAGATCCTAGGCTTAGGTGTAAAGGATACAATATTAAAATTTGCAGTTGACACAAACCCGGAAGGTATTCTGAATTGTAAGGCAAATACTGATAATTTTTAAGAGTTGGTACAATGGACTTACAAATGTTAGTTGAAATTTAACGCAGAGAAGTGAATCATTTTGATTTGAATAAGAAGGGGAGGCAATATAAAACAAATAAAGTGTACAATTCGAAAATGATTACAGGAACCTATACCTAGTGGTTTATATGCACAAATCGTTGAAGGTGTCAGCACAGGTCCAGAAAATGGCGATTAAAAGATCTTAGGATCTTAGGATCCAAGGCTTTATAAGTAAAGGCATTGAGTACAGATATTATGATGAACCTGCGTAAAATGCCTTTTTAAAAATTTTGATTAAACATTTTATTTTAATGGCCTGTATCCTCAATTAAAGACCTTTTCCCTGTTTTAATGTCTTCCGTTTTTTGGACATGTCATTGCACTGTGTTGCACGAGTAGTGTCACTGTGCGAGTGGCATCGTCAGGCCTCATAATTGCTTTGGCAGCTTTGAGCCTCTTTGTAGAGTTGGCACGATGTGTTTGAGCCATTTAGCCAAGGATCATAAATTTTTTAAACAGTTCTTTTCTATATTTACGTGTACTGAAGTAAACTTAATTTTCTAAAGTTCTCTGCTGTTTGTATCTGTAATTGGGGATCTCTGTAAATTCTACTTTTTGGAGGTCTCTACCATACCGTGCAGTACCTGTATAGTTGTTGAGGAACTGAACTAGATTTCTGAAGTTCTCTGTACCTGTAGTTGAGGAGTTTCTGTAAATTTCACTTTTCGAAGATTTCTTGTAGTTGAAAAACTAAACTTTGATTTTTAAAGGGATCCCTTCTGTTCCTGTACAATGTCTGTCCTTGAGGAATCCGTACAGTACCATAAGACATTTGAGTAGAATTAGGCTGTTGGGCCCATAAAGTCAGCTCTGCCATTAGATCACAACCCCATTCTCCTGCCTTCTCCCTGTAACCCGTGATCTCCCCTCCATCCTTCTAAATTCCATCAATACAGACCCAGAATCCTCACACATACCTCATATGACAAGCCCTTCAGCCCAGATCATTCTAGTAAACCTCCACTGGATTCTCCTCCAAGGACAGCACATCTTTCCTTCGATATAGCTTCTAAAACTGCTTAAACTATTTCAAATCTGGTCTGACCAGAGCTTATACAGCCTC